TCTCCTTCAGTATAAAAGTAGGTACCAGTGCTGGATTCGGGATCTTGTTAATGGCTATAGGGAGCACGTGTTTAGTCGTCCATGGATTCCTAAAAACCTGCCAGGAGAGGAAAACCGAAAACTTTGTCCTCGGAGTGGGGAAAATCGGCATCTCCGACGGTGCACAGGGAGAGCCCTGGAGGCTGTGCAAGCTTCTACACCCCCCGCCCCTGTCTCGCGGGGCGGCGTTCTGGGGTGCGCGCGTCCCCTCCGGACAGCCCCGCAGCGCCCCGGAGGCTCCCCCCCCCCCCCCAGCCTGTGCCAGGCGGAGCTTCCTTGCATTGCTAATGGGGATTCTTATTATAACTAAGCACGGAGGACACCCGCCTTTCGGTTGCGCCAAGAGGAGGAGTGTGGGCCAACCCGAGTGGAGGCGCCCCCAGAGCCTCAGTCCTGTGTCCGGGGACAGCCAGGGGAATTGGGCCCCACCACTGTTCCCACCGCCAAGGGCTGTCTAAGTGCTAGAAATTCCCAGATAGAACTCGGCGGGGTGCCGTCCTGGGTCAACAGTCCCTGCCCCCCCCCCACGCGGGGCGTCCTGCACTCCCACGCCCACTCCCACTCCCGCTCTGGTTCCACGGAATATCCGGGAGGTGCAGGGCAGCGATGTGCAGTAAGTGTTTGGTGACGGGAACTAATGCGACATTGCTCTGCATTTGCCCCTGGCTTCGGGCGGGCGGTGACCTACTCAGTCCCGAGGAAAGAGCCCGTGGAGCCAGGGGCCTCGGGTGCCGCCGGATCACACCTCCCTTTCTTCCTGGCGCTGCCGGGGAGAAGTGGCACAACAGGAAAGCCTCGCCAGAAGGCCGTCCCGGGCGGCTTCCTCACCATAAAAAGTCAGGCTCCAGCCGAGGTCCTGACCCCTTCCAAATATACATCCCGCGCCCTCGGCCGCCTCGCCAGCGCGGGCCTCAGGCGGCGCGGCTTCCTCCAGGCTGGCCGGCCCAGGGCCTCCCGTCAGAGTGGTGGGAGTCGGGAGCCCCCATTTCAGTTGTCTCCCCCAGGTCACCAAAGCTCTCGTGCTTTGGAGCTTCGGCTTTTCTAAGCGTCCATCCCGCGGGTACCCCGAGTGCACCGGAGCACTGGCGAGGCCAGAACTATGGCTGTGGAAGGTGTTTTTGTTTTTTGTTTTGTTTTTCTTAAGGACGCCTGACACCTGTCCATCACCCCCTCGGCTCCCCGCAGGTGCGCCTGGTGGGGAGAGCCGGCTGTCCGCGCCCGTACACGTGTGCGGGACTTCCTGCCCCGCCCGGGCGGAGGGGCGCGCGGTGGGGGCCGCAGTTTGCCAGTCCGAGACCGGAGGCCGTCCAGGGCTCAGAGCTAGGGAGCGGAGACAGGGCCACCGGAGGCCTCCGCAGTCGCCTTAGGGGCCCTGCAGCACCGCAGCAAAGCGGTCCCAGCGCCCGTGGCCTGACTCGAGGGGCTTGCACACAGGCAGGCGCCTCAGTTCCCGAGTTTAAAGATCAAAAGGGGCAGCTGAGAACCTGGCGTCCGGGCGTCAGTTGTGTGTGACCCCTGACCCCGGAGGAAGGGCGGGAGACGGGAGTAGGCGCGGGCTCTGGGCCTGGGGTCAGCACGCGGTCGTCGGCCTCCCAGCAGAGACTCTGGCTGAGGAAACCCGTGAGGGTGGCGTGGGGCCCGGCCATGGTATTCCTAAAGAGGCCGTGGAAGGTCTGGGGGATAGAGCGCACGCTGGAGTAGCGAGGGTGCGCATTGGCTGCCTGCGGGAAGGCCCGCGGCTTGGGCCTGGAGGAGGGAGCGACGGCCACATAGGCTTGGAATGGCCCGAGGTCCAGTCTCCCTAATAATCCTGATGGCACACACGTCAAAATGTGCTTCCCGCTCTCAGAGTGCACCGGAGGGAGAAGGAGGTCACAGGGAGGTCTTGGCCTGGAGCCTGCTTGGGGCAGGGCAGCAGCACCCCCAGGCCTCCTGGAAGAAATCCCGCCCAGACCCGGGGGTTGGAAAGGACACTGTGAACTGTGGCAAACCTCCGGCTGCGGAGGGTGGGCTAGTCCCCGAGAGGCTTCGTGTCCCAGTTGTCACTGCTGTTTGTGAAAATTTCCAGTGACTACAACCCACAGTTTCTGGAGATGGCGGTGGCATGTGGTAATATGTTGTAACACATGTGCTCACAGAAACACACGATATTTTTTAAAACCCAGTGCGGGTTCTCTGTACACCCCACTCCTCATTCCGTGTTTTGAAGGCTTCAGTGCAGGTCGTGAAAAACAGATGAGTGTGAACTTGGACTTTTGGGATATGTCTTAAAACTGAGAATACCGTAAAATACTTTCAACAATAAAGATTTAATTTAAAAAAAACCCCACACATACAAAAATATGAGAATACCTGATTGGAATTCCCACAACAAACAAGATGCTGGGGGTGCTTTGAGGCTTTTTGGGGGGCTTACACATTTATTTGTAAAGTTTAAGGTTATTTTGAAATGAAATTTCAAAGTGCTGTCTCCTACTACAACCTTTAATAGCACAGGGAAGGTCTCATTCGCCAGCAGCCAACCAGTGTGGCCAAGGTTCTAGGGAATCTTGGTGGTTGGTCTTGGTGATTAAAGGAGACAAGAGGAGACTGAAGCCATTCCACAGCCTGAAATCAACGTCCGTCCGAGGAGCCCTCTTACAGGGAGCATTATCTCCCAAGCTCTCCCCCTAAAGGTCCTGCAGTCTGCCACAGGCCTTGGTTCTAAATAGCTATAGAGGTGTGTCAGGCTTCTTATGCCTGACCTAGCTCCCTTCTAATTCCTTAATGACAAAGGGCAGCAGACAAAGCCCATGATAGTCTGGCAGGCAAGTCTGATGGAAAGTGAGGCTGCTGGGTGGCCCATGCATCCAGGCACCTTGTTGCTCATCTGGGGCACTAATGAGGGGTTGGACTGCTTTGCTATTATATTTGAGTGTACTAAAATTGTAAGTTTCTTAGTTTTTAACTTAAAAAAATGGAGATGGAACATATTTTATCACATCTAAAATGAATAGCTAAAGCTGGCAGAGCAGAAAAAAGGGGAAAATAAGTTCACTGAAACGGAATTGATATTTAAGATAAAATTGTCTTGAAGATGTCCAAATGAAATTCACAACACAAAAAGACTCAAATTTGTTCTCTTTTTCTCCTTTTAAACACACTCAGGCTTAGAAGCCAAGTGGACCCCCACCTTCCCACTGAGGGTGCAGGAATAAAGAGAAGGTTGCAACCAAAAATACTCCTTGTGTCTTTCAGAAACTGATTCTCCAGACCATTTTGGGAAGAATAGTTTAATGTTATGGCTCCACTGGACTCCCATTAAACCCCTACCTAGGATCTGTCCTGGTCTTCACTGAAGAGCTTAGTATGCCTTTAGGCTAACAAGCCACAAAACACTGAATTGAATGGGGTCACTGCAAGCCCTGGAATGGTCTCCTTGCCTGGGTATGGGATGAGGTGGAGGGTTCAGGGGGTCAGAGGAGAAAAGGAGGTGCCTGTCTGTCAGGTCAAGGCTAAGGGGAACGTGTGTGAATGTGTTTATTTGTGAGTGTATGTGTGACAGTGTGATAGCAGGTTTGTGAGTTATGCTTGCGAGTGAGTGAATGTGTATGAAATGGCGTGTTGGTAGGTGTGTATTTGTGTTTGTGAGTGTTTGGATGTGTGTATTGAAGTCTGTGAGTGACAGTGTGTGAGTATGTAAGTGTGAGTGTGTGTGTGTATGTGTGCCCACCAGCCTGCCTCGTCCTGGAGGCCCAGTCTGCCAGGGACCATCTGTTTCCAATTAGCAGCATCCCGATTGGGAGAAGGCCCCATCCTGGGGCAGCTTCTGAGAAGGGGGCCGCTAGCTAGCTCAGGCCACCCTAGTTCTGCTCCATCAAAGCTGAGGCTGGCCCTGGCCAGTATGCTGTCGCAGCAACTCTGGGCAGCCACACAAAGAATCCTCTTTCCTGCCGCCAGCCTTCGGAGCCTGGGTCCTCCCCAGACCGTAAACCTGCTGGAGATACATTCAGAAACAGCTCGCCCGCACTCACAGAAGATGGGCAAGGCTGGAAGTCCATTTGCTATAAAGTTTTACTTTGCTTCCCTTGGAGGGAAAGTGAAGGGAAGAAGAGCCCTGATTTAATTTGTTCTGCAGCAAAATATGGCATTTCATGCAGAGGTATCCACCCGTATGCAGATCCTTGCTTGCTGCTGCAGATTCCATATGTTTGTGTGTTCATGTGTTCACCTGCCATGGCTGTGCAGACACACTGTCCACGGCTCAAGAGCCCATGCCTGTGGTCCAAGCCAGGCCACCTAAATGATGCACTTAGTGAAACTGGTCAGTGATCCCAGGCCCAGACTTAAAACCTCCGTATTATAATTTCTAATTAATGCTGATGTAGTTGAAGGGCACAGGACCTGGCATATATTAGGCACTTAATGTAAATTGGTTGAATGACTAAATCAAAATTAGATTTAAAAAGTGATGTAGCACTGAGAAGAGGTTGGAGGTAAGTATTGTGTAAGATTCTAGACCACAAGGGAAAGCATGGCTCACAGACCTCTGGGTAACCCAGGGGCTTCGGCGTGGAATGTTCCAACAATATTTACTTACCTTCAAGTTTCTTCTCCTAACCCCCCTCTATTTCTGAAGCCTTCCTTTGAGATGACTGGAGCCCGTGGGTTCTAATTATAGCCAGCAGAGACCAGAGCAGTGTGAATGCCTCCTTTCTGCAGGAACTGGGTTTCCAAATGGGCTGGAGAGACTGGCTTATTGTCACTGGGAGGGAGACAAATGTCCAGGCAGAGACTTAGGAGGACACACAGGCAAAGTCAGCCTGGGCCCCGCAGTGTCTGCCTGCAGGGGCTCTCTCAAAAGGGAGCAGGCCTGCAGGGAGCTATTTCACTCCAAGCCATGGATCGAGGTTTTCTGTTTTGTTTTGTGGCCCTTATAGCTGCTTTTATAACTTGCAGAAAACATGGACACCAACTCCTCCTGCTGGTTTATAGAAAGGCCATTTTTAATCAGAAAAAAGAAAACCATTTGAAAGCCTCACAATTTCAGCTGTCTAATGACATAATTTCAAGTAAAGTGAACATGTGATTAAAACATCTTTCTGATTTCATAGAACCATTCAGAGAAGGCCTCGACAAGGGAAAGTGGGCCAAACCGGAGCGCCGCGTCCTGTCCCGGCTGCTGCAAACCTGAGCGGCCACAGGCCTGTTGGCAAGACCACTGCTCAGTGGCTGTGGGGGTCTCAGGCAGCTCTCGGAAGGGCGCGCCCCTCGCTCCTCCCTGAACCACTGGTGCGGCCCCCAAGGGCTGGTTCTGCTGGGACAGAGGCCGGTGGGGCGGCTTGGCGCTGGGCGGCCACGCTCAGGCGTTGGGGTTGTTCCGCATGAGCTCCACGTCGGCGTCTACCATCTCCCGCACCAGCTCCTGGGATCAGAGACAAAGGGTGGGCGCTGAGGGTGGGGTTTCCGTCACCCTCTCCTGGCGACACCTCCCCCCCCCCCCCCCCGTGGCGGCTCCCCGCTGCCCTCTCGCCATCCGATCTGGGCACCACCGGCGCCCAGCTGCCCGCCAGGTGGCCACCCTCTCCGGGGCCCACCGCGCAGGGGACACTTACATCAAAAGCGACCCGGGGCTTCCAGTTCAGCTTCTGTTTCGCTTTGGTGCAGTCTCCTTGCAGAAAGTCCTGAGGGTGGAGAGAGAGAGACAGACGGGCGTGGTCAGGGTGGCGGTCCCGAGGCCGATGGCGTTCAAGGCTCCCGCTTCCCTCCACCAGGTCCCCGCCGGGCACATCGCCTTGGCTCTGGGAGCCGTAACTCTTGCGATGGTCGCGTTTAAGCAAGCGCTGCACAGCCGGGGAGGGGGTGACAGCCGTCCGTGCGCAGCCCGCGCAGCCCTCGCGTCCACCGTCCGCAGACGCTCCGTGACTTTACAGTATATACAGGGGTTTGACAGGGACGCTACTGTGTGAACTGTTTGGAATTACCACGTTTCTCAGGCAAGAGGAGGGAGAAGTGAGTGTCACCGTCCCCCAGCTCCTCCGGACGCCGCGCGCCCGCCGCTGCCACCAGCCGCGCTGCGCGGTGTGGGGACGTGGCCTGGGACCGTTGCTCCAGGCGGGCGGGCGCCCCTCTCCTACCGGGGCCACGGTCACTCCGGCCGGGCGGTCCTTCCCCGGCGGTTCCCAGCCTCTCTGACTCTGGAGACCTCGGTTCACACTGCCACCAAGCACACCCACAGGCAAATAAAACGAAACCGAAGCTTCCCGAAGCAGCCCTGCCTTCCAGGGGCAGTATACACAGCGTTTCCTCTCCTGTTCGGTTCTGGTACGCTCTGTAGAAGGGCTCCTCTCCACCCACTAATGATGCGCATCAGGCAGTTTGCAAACGCTGCCTTGCTCGCCTCCCTCTGCAGTGTCACCTAACCACTCTGCTGCAGAATCAAGTTAATTTTCAAACAACTTCCAGCTCCTGTGCGAGCGGCTGGGGCCGCCATTTGCTTGATACTTAAGTTTCTCCTCCCATCAGATGGGGGCCTTATCAAAATACTAAAAAGTATGAAACTGTGTGCCCATGGCTCTGGCAGTCTGCTCCCTCAGCCACCAGGGCAGAGCGGAAACCAAACACACCAGGGCTTCTGAGAGTTTCCATCCATTTAAAACACTTCGTTGGAAGGAAAGCTTGCTAAAAGAAAACCAGAGGAGAATAAATTAATTCATTCTGCATCTCAGCCCTCACTCACCAATTTCTTATTACAGCTCTCTAAAGAAAACTGAGATGAGAATTTCAAGATGATTTGCAAAAAGGGAGGGCGGAAGGAAAGAATGAGAAGGAAAGACGAGAAAAGAAAAGACAAGAAAAAAGAAAGAAAAGTACTTGGCCATTTTGGGGGTAAGATAAACATTTAGCTTTTCCATATACAAATGTCTTCATCAAATAGTACACAAGATATGAGTCTTCAAAACAGGAGAACTATTTTGTGAAGGCAGTATGAAAACAGCCTAATTTTAAACAAGGTCAGTATCTCATGAAGACACCATTTTCCCTACACAGGATATTAAAGAACAACTTAAAACCAGTCATATCCAGTGAAAGTAACAGATAATGGAGCTGCAACTAAGAGCCTCCCCCACAGATTTTCCTGGGAGTCCCCTGAGAGGAGCAGGCCTGGGGGGTGCTGTAGACCCACACTGGGCAGGCCACCCCGAGCTGGGCAGGCCCTCTCTGCAGGGCACGCTGCGCGCTCACCTTCACTAGAAAGCTACTTCTGAATATCTGTACTGTTTGCTTGAAATGGTACGCTAACAGGGTACATTCAACAACTCTCATTCTCAACCATCCATCATTACTTAGGGTTGAATAAATCAAACTCCCAAAGGCTTTTCATTTCACAATACACTGAAGTACCGATTTCCTCTCCGGAGTATTAATAATAGTAAAACAAGTTATTTCTGCTGGCCCAGGCATCCAGGACGAGGGAAGAGTGAGCTCATTCTTCAGGAAAAGTAGGGTACAAAAATTAATACTTAGCAATTTAACACAGTGCTGCTACATGGAACTGGAAATATAAGTGGAAAAACAAATGAATTTATTTCTCTTTCCCTTCCCTAAATAAGCTTGTATGTACTTCTACAATACTTCTGCTTTACTGTAAGAGTCACACAATGATGTTCATTCTTGTTCCCCAGAGGGAGCTGTGAAATGTGGCCTCACAAGGCAACATGGCCCTCGAATTCTACAGCAGCTACACAGCCTGAAGAAACATGGTTGTTGTTTAATCATGCAACACTTGTTGTAAATCAACTAGCCCTGCATAGGATGCAATTCATGACTCTTAACTTATAGTTAGCAAAACCCTAAAACCAACTCTGGCTTCAAGTAATCTCAGTAGGCTTGGGAAAGGGAGCTTTGTATTGTAATTATGTTTCCTGTATTTTTCTACAAGTAGCTCATAATATAAAAACAACTAGGGAACTACAATTAAGGAAAAAAGAAAAATGGTTTTCAAAAGCTTAGAAACAGACATTGCTACCATGCACTGTAAAAGTATTTCATTGAAACCGGAGACGCACCCAGTTAAACTTCCCAATTTAGTTTTGAGCCCAACTCCTACATTCCAGTCTAGCAGCTTACTTTAACCTCCTGCCAAGGCTCTGTCTCCCTGAAATTTAATTAGACCAAAAGACCTTGTGAAGGAAAAGGATGAGGTTCCATCAAAACAAAACAGCGGCTCACTGTGCCAGATGCAACTGAGCTGACATCTAGAGCAGTCCACGCGCTTGTGCCCAGTCAGCGTAGGGGAAGACTAAGGACACTTCACTCCTCCCGAAGGACTTTACTTTTTCCTGTGGTGTCCTTCAAAGAAAATATAAAGTAAATGATTTAGTCTGCAAGGTTTGGGGCACAGGGGGTCCTTAAAAGGTGGCATGGGAAAGGCCAGGCGTGGGAGCGCACGTGGCTCTGAATGACACGGGTGGGCGTGGAAATGCTCCTTTAAATAAGTCTTCTGCTAGCCCCAGAGAAATGAGATTTAGAAACTGTGTTCTTACAATGTAAGTGGTTCTTATAATGACGCCAGGAACCACTCTCCTTATAGGACTGTGTGGAGCAAGGTGGAGGGGAGAGGAAAATAAGGACAAAACATATTTTACTTTTAGATTTCACACACCCTCTCCGCTAGGGTGTGATCGGCTCCTGAGGACGAGGGAAGAGTGAGCTCATCTGCTGTGCTCTTGTCTCATTTTCTGAAAGTTCAGTTCCTTTTTGTTTATGGGCTTAAAGCTACAGGATGACAACAGAGGCAGAGCTGAATTAAAGTGATGATTTTATGTGCAGTTTCTAAAATGGACCTGTGCACTGGGTGGTCTGGAACCTTTCTGTAGAAAAGACAATAAAGCTCTGGGAAAAATTTAAAGCATTTCTATGTGAATATGACATTTCCTGAACTCCGGCTTCTGGTGTCTTCACCATTTCCATTGCTATTTAGGTGAGCTATACAATTTCAACATGTGATTTATTATTGTCAAATTCAATTAGGGTTAGCTGAGCATTTCATAGCAGCCAAACAGCATGAGCAAGAGAAAATGGATGTGCCCAGATGCCCAGAGCCCCCTCTTTTTTCTCAGAGTCCCTGACTACTGTCGACTTATTTGACCTTTAGGAGTTGTCCTTTAACTCTTTGTCCAGGCATAAACCCCAAAGGCCAAGGCCAGTGGTCAAAGCAGCGAACAGCAGCCTAGCAGGAGGAAATGTTTTGCTGCAGCAATTTTTCAGGCTCTCCTGGCTTATGTTCTTGTTCCAGTGAACTGATAAAGGGCCAGACTAAATCCTGGAAAAATCATTAAGCCAGTTTCTGAGCCCACATAGTTAACACAAAGTCCAGAAAAGTAGAGAGCATGCCGTGCCACTATCTTCTACTCCGACTATAATTTTCTCTCCTCCTGTCCGGGTACCTTTTCACCTCCATCAAGATAACACCACATCTTTAAATGATGCTGGCTAGTTTTCTTTCCTTCCCCCAATCTTATTTTATTTTGATTATTATTTAACACATATAATCCCTTTGAAACCCACCCACTTCTAAAATCATTGTAGGGAATGTTATTAAATAGATTATATCACATATCTTTCAAAGTTCACAGTCTCATTTTTTTTTCCTCTTTCCCTGAGGTTGCATTGGGAAAATTTTAATATTTATTTCAAATTATGTGTGGGATACCACATTTCCTACAGGTCTGCTTGTAAAGTTTGCAAAGAACATCTGTTTAGGTGAAGAAACATTTTAAGAGTGTGAGCTCTTTCGGCAGGATGTTAAATTTCTAATGTGCACACTGAGAGAGATTGACTCCATGCTGTAAATAAGGAGATGTACAGACAGATGTTAATGAGGAAGATTAAGACTGGGGAGAACCCTGCTTAAACACCGTCAAGAAGCTAAGCTCTGCAGCAGGAGCAGCACTTTGCATTCATTTCTTTCCTGCCACTTTTCTTAAAAAAGCAAAATTGCAGACTAGCTCAGGCTCCAAGGGAATAAAAGAATGCCAATGAATTTGGTTCTTGATCTAACTTTATGCTAATGGAAAGTAAGCAAGAAAGATTTACTCTGATGAAATGCTTCTTTTTAGAAAGACAAAACTGCTAAACAACAACAACCCATACCCCCAAAACTTCAGTAAAATGGAAAAAGTTTCAAAGCACATCCCACTCAACATTCAAGACATGCAGCTGAGATAATAATGGGGGGGGGGGGGGGAAGAGTCAGAAAGTTCCCTAAGAAAGTTTGCTATATAATGTCTCATTGCGCAGATTAAACTCTGGTGCTCACAAATGTATCCTTTGATTGAAACCTTCCTAGAGAGAGTGAGTCTCGGAGCAGTGAGAAGCACAGTGGCCTTAATAACAGTGATGAGCACTTCCCTTCTCTCTCCCTTTACTGCTGTATTTCAGCACAAATTGAAGTTGAAGCCAGGCATCACCTTTAATGACAAGGGGCGATAAGAGACAAGGAGAAAACAGCGGGCCTGTCTGGTCTGCTCAGGAAGCCGGACTCAGTGGGACTGTCCATCAGCAGGGCTGACAGAATGCCTTCGGAGCACGAACAATGTGGGCTCAACCTCAGGGAAATGGAGTCAGTCAGCACCGGCTCCAACAGTGACCCGACAGTGCAAATAAAGTGGCAAAAGGAGGA